GTAATTCAAGGCCTGCAGCTCTCGAATATGTTTTAGGGCTGGAAGGTAAGTACCTTCTCCCATTGCCCTTTAGGTCTCCACTTCTTCTTCTGTCCTTCCACTGTCTTCTGGGATATTTGTGCTCTTTAGAGCACAGCCAGCACGTCCTGCTCAGAAGGCAGGGTCGGTAAGACTGGGATTAGAGGATAAGCCCCTCCCCTCTGGGATCAAAGTTTGCCGGCCCTGCCTACGGAAGGGGGAGGTGCTTTCCCAGGAGTAAGGAGTCAAGGACTGCCCCACTCCTGGACCACCGGAGAATGGCTTGTTTGGAGGGTGGACTTTATGGCATTGTACCTGTCTGAGGTCCCACCCCTCTTCAAACCCCACCCTCTCCAGGCTCCACCCCTCAAATCTCCAGGAATTTTCCAACCTGGAGTTGGCAACCCTATCTCTTCCCAGCTAACCATCAACCTACCTTGATCTGCCCCTCTGACGTCAGCCTTCTATCTCCTCCCCCCTCCCTCCAGGGAGCAGTTGTAATTCTGCGTGATCTCCAGCCCCCACCTGGAGATTGGCAACAATGGTTCCCCAGGAGGGACTGGCTGGGCTGGAGAGTGAAGGTTATGGCATTGTACCTGTCTGAGGTCCCACCCATTCTGAAACTTCACCCTCTCCAGGCTCCATCCCTAAAATCTCCAGGAATTTCCCACCTGGAGTTAGCAACCCTATCTCCTTCCCAGCCAATCATCAACCTACCTTTATTTCCCCCTCACTCTTCAGCTTTTCACCCCCCCACACCTGCAGCCTCTAGCATGCTCTGAAGCCCTGACTGCTATGTCACATTGGCTGTCATACAGGGGCCATTTAAGCAGGATATAAGGACACAGAGTCCACCATTTTCTCCAGGGGAACTGATCTCTGCCATCTGGAAAGCAGTTGTAATTCTGAGTGATCTTCAGCCCTCACCTCGAGATTGGCAACAATGGTTTCCCCCAACTGGCACTAAGGGGAAATGTATTTTACCTCAGTACACATTTTACCTCAGAACAACAACAGCAAACTGTTTAGAATGTTCGAGGCAAAGGCCAATGAGGCCGCATATGCAAATGACCATTGTGTTCCGAGGCAAAGGTCAATCAGGCCACATATGCAAATGACCTCTGTGTTCTGACTGGCTATGGGGAGGAGAGGAACAACAAACTGTTTAGAAAGTTGGAGGCAGGACTCAGGCAACGCAGCCAGTGGATAGGGAGACCCTCTGAGTGACAGATCAGGGAGCCAACTGATTTGGGAGCGCAAGTGTGTTGGAATGTTCAGGGGAGTCCATGATCAAAACAGAATTATATATAAGGAGAGATTCTTTCAACCCCTTTAAAATGCTAAACATTTGAATTGTACCATATATGAAGATTCTGATAACTTTTCCTTCTTCTGATCAATTCGATACAACAGGGTCGGTAAAAAACACTTTTGCTATCAGGAATATTTTCTTGTTTTAACAGTCAGTGAAAAATTGCAGTCTTTGGGTTTTTGAACGGTACCAGGATTGGGTTAAGACAGTAAGCCTAAGAAAAGTTAAACCCTTTCACCCCCATTGACTTTAGTGGACTAGCAGGGTGCTACTCTCTTTAGGGTCACACTGTAAATTGGGGAAATGCCTTCTTTCCCAAGGCCACAATACCAATCAAATTCAGGGTCTCATTGTCCAGTTGCTTCATAAATAAAACAGAAAAGATGGGAGATGCAATCATAGATCTCCAATGGCTTTTCTCATCTGGCCCTCAGAGACTTGAGCTGACTTCTGATAACACTCAAATATATCCCTAAACTGAACGGTCAACTCTACAACATTCTACTTTATGTCAATCATGGTATTCATTTGCAGTCTTCATTACTGCTGACCACTTACTAGTTAAGGAAGGAGCAGTCATAGTTTGGGATTCAGGCAGTGTTCCCTTCTGAAAATCCTGATACTATTCAACTTGGAGTTACTATATTAGACTTCACAGATCCAATATGCTAGCAGAGATGCTTTTCTTCCACAGGAGAAAGTTCCTTCCCTGGACACAACAAAGTCGCCTACCGACAGAAGAGCCTGCTGTGTCAGGGAAAGGTTTCTTCCACTAAGGAAAGCAGCTCCACTGGTGCAACAGATCCAAGAGATACAACATTGACTTGGCTCCATTGGAAGGCTTCCATGGAAAAAAAGAATTTCTATCTATGGAACATGACTTCATTGCTTCCCACTGCATGACAAAATGCCACAGGAACAATATGAAGGGGGAGTCAAAGTTCTGCCGTGGGAGGGGGAAATCAGCAAAATTCTTGAGCATGTGGAAATTCTCTAGTGGATCCAACTCCACAGCTAGAATAGCATTTTGGTATTAGAGAATTCTAAGGAAGAACCTAAGTACCAGTAACTAAGGTCTTGTTGTCGCAAACAACAAGGGAGAAGGAGGTAAACCTTCTGCTGGATTGTACCACTTGAGCTGAGATTATACATGATTGAATCCTCCTGCATACAAAAAGGGGAAATCCCTACATATGGGGGGAAAGTCAATAAGGATTTTAGCTAATATTTGAATTTTCTTTGTGACATATGTTTTTATATAGACCAACCTCTCCATGTAAACCCCAACCTGCATTCTGAAGTAATATCGACTGCCCCAAAAAAGTTTACTTCCTCACATATAGTAGCTATGCCATCACAAGAACCCAGTACCCCTTGATTGTCTTTAGCCTCAAAAAAATTCTATTGTATCTGATTTATAACCACATTTATACAAACATATTCAAGGCAGTTTAAAACAAAATAAAATTTTAATTTTTTAATTTTAATTTTAAATGCCCAGTCACATGTAATATACTTCCCAGTACATTTCATGAAATCATCTATTTAAATCTTTCAATTGAAAGCAGATTAACAGCTATCAACTAAAATAATTATACCCGCAGAATTAAAACCTATTTGAGACCAACAGATAAAAGCCTTAAATAAAACCTATTTTACTTTTCTTAATAGTGACAAGTGACCCAGCCAGAAGGGAATGGATAATATTGGAATGGTCACAGAAAAAGCTCTGCTTCTAATAGATATGGCATCTTCCTACAAAGGAGTTAGGAGTACAGCATCATTAGTTAACAGGAAGAAGGAGGAGGAGATTGGATTTATACCCCACCCTTCATTACCCAAAGGAGTTGCAGAGCGGCTTACAAACTCCTTTCCCTTCCACCTCCCCACAACAGACACTCCGTGAGGTAGGTGGGGCTGAGAGAGCCCTTTTGAAAACTGCTCTTCCAAGAACAGCTCTCACAGAACCATGGCTTGCCCAAGGTCATCCAGCAGCTGCAAGTGGAGGAATGAGGAATCAAACCCGGTTCTCCCAGATTAGAGTCTGCACACTTAACCACTACACCAAAGGAATATATATCAGATAAGACACTTCCTTATCTACTTAGCAACTCAGACTATCTGGGTTTTTAGAAGTTAATAAAACCAGAATCTTGAATTGGACAGGAAAAGAAATTGCAATCAATGTACTTGTTAGAGTGTCAGACTAGGATCCAAGAGAACCAGGTTCAGAATCTACATTCTGTCATGGAAGGTTGCTGGTTGACCTTGGGCCAGTCACATACTCTCTTAACCTACCTCATAACGGTTGTTGTGAAGATAAAATGGAGGAGAGGAGAATGATGTAAGACATGTGAGGAGAATGGTAGAGTACAAATGAAGTAACTAAGTAAATAAATTAAATTGTTGGACAGGTGTTACATACTTCCTTTTGCTCATACCTGCCAGAAAGGGGGAAGGGGTTGCACCAAGGCAAAGAAAAACAAAACAAAATGGTGCAGAGGGTAATGGAATATTTATTAGTTATACAACCCCACGTGTTTCACATACAGCTTCATCAGGGGAATCTTTCAGATCCAATGTATGTATGGTAACAGAATGAAAAAGTAGACAGGCAGCAGCATAGTGGACTAATTGATGTCTTTGAACTGTCATTAGGAGAAACCTCAGGAAGATTCCATTACAATAGTCTAATCTGGAAGTGCCCAAAACATGCCTGAGGGTAGCCAGATCTTTCCAATTCAGGAGAAATCAGTTCACCCAGAGTAGGTGTCAGACACTGCCAACCAACAAGAGCAGAGTAAAATAAATTTCAAATCTAATGCAGGATGAAATGATATAGTGGAAAAAATTAACAACTGGAAGGGTGTGATTATTAGCACCTATAGTGAGTTGGGACTCCAAGAGACCCTTTTAAAGTCTCTTGCGAATGAATTCCAATTTAGCATTCTTGCACTGTGACGTTCTTTTGAAAGAGAACAATTACCTTTAGATCAGCCACAGTATGCCCTGGGAGGTTAAAGTGTTCCCTCATTGGTTTCTGAACATTGTGATTTTTAATGTCAGATTAGTATTCTGCACAAAAGAATAAATAGATACTGAAAAGGAAGTCAGAAAAGAGGGCTCCACCTTCCTTACACGGAGACAAAAACCACTACTTTGTAGACTCTCTTAAGGGTTATGTCACTGCTTGCAGAGTTCTGTACCTTATACTGTACACCAAAATGGATTTGTTAATGTAGTGACAAAAATAATGATCTTCTTGAATAACGTTACATTCAGAACTGGCATTTTCTAGTATGAATCACTGCCATGTGACTCCTGAACAGAAAGGCTGAACAAACAGAGCAGGCTAACATAATCCTGAATCAAATAACTACAATTTAAAGAAAATACTGCCCTCTTGCCATTAAACATATACAACTCTAACCTCCTGTTTTCACTCCTCTCAGTTCACAGAGTTTAATAACAATCATAATACTTTTGGTTCTGTGTTTTTAATCTTTAAAATGAAGACAGTATTAATGCAATTTGTGAATCTCCTTTTATTGGTGCTTTTTCAGAAACTAGTTAACAAATGGCTGGGTCCAGAGATCACTGTATGAAATTGAATGTTCAGTATTTTGCTGGGCTTCAACAGCTTACTTTATATTCCTTCTCTACTCTTCTCAAAACAGCGTTAACTTTATAATTACTTTGTATTTGTCCCAATAGTCTTTCAAAAAAAATTTGATTACTTTTTTTTTACCTTGAGATCACGATACACAATCTTTCCAGAATGCAGATAGTCCAGAGCAGAAACAATTTCTGCACCATAGAAGCGTGTGCGATCCTCAGAGAACACCCGCTCTCTCGACAAATGGAAAAACAGCTGCAGGGTAAACAGCAGGGACAGGATTGCAATAATTACTGATTTAGTGGGGGAAATTAACACAAACATAAAACACCTCTCATCACCATATTGTGATGATAGATAGTGTACTCTCAGTGGACAGTCAGCACTCTTAGACAGCAGCTGGCTTATCTTTTCCAGGTTTCCAAGGGGAAAAAACGAGCTGTTAAATCAGCGTTTTAATCAATATACCAATCTTGTTTAAGGCATTCTGTTTGCTACCCATTTAACCTTCAGTTACCATAGGAAAAAAGTGCATCATCATCATTCTATGCTTTTTTCTCCATTCCTCCCTTCAGTTTAAAATTATTTTTAGCAATAAAACTACTAGACTTAGTTATTGTGTGTCTACAATTACAGACGTGGGGAACTAGTTTACTACTAATTTTTTAGACTAGCTTGTTTCTAGAATACAGTGGTAAAAGTTCCTTTTCGATATGCAGAAATTGCCTTTCATGTGAAGAGTGCTGCATTGAACAGAAAGCCATCATAGAAAAAACACAGTGTATTCCCTCCACCCTTCTATTACACTATTCAATTACTTTCTCCCCCTCACCTTCCCCTATGAGCCTACTTCCATACATATCTTTTGATTGGTATCAGGAATTTATTATGCTGCTACCAAAACGTCAATCTGTGGCCCATAACAGCAACATACAACCAGCCAAGTCCAGATTTATGCCTCTTTGTACCAGGAATACATTTGAAATAGATATATGATGTTATTGAAAGTTATCAAGAAAGTTATCACCTTCTATGATGACTGTCTCACACTGTGGCCAACCAGTTACTCTGGAGGGCCAACAACAGGGCATAGAGGCTGAGGCCTTCCCCTGATGTTGCCTCCTGGCTCTGGTATTCAGAGGTTTACTGCCTCTGAATTTGGAGATTCCCAAATTAAATAATAAATAAACCCTAATAATTAATAAAATTCTAATTGGCCATTCTTCTGCCACTTCATTAGCATCTTAACCTAAGTTTTTCAGTCCAAATAACTACCATGAAAGGTTCCTAGCAAACATGTTTTTACTGCAGTACAGTGTATATAAACTAAGAATTTTGTCAAAAATTAGACTGCTTTATAAGACTTATTTATGCACAATAAAGTCTATTAACATCAATTATCATATTCATTTATATTCTTCAGCATTAAATCTCTCTTATGAGATCAGGGCCCTGTGGGACTTATTGCAGTTCCGTCGGGCCTGTAAGACAGAGCTCTTCCATCAGGCACTTGGTTGAGGCAGCGAACGTCCCCCTCCCCCCAGTTTTTTTGGCCATTCATCCATCAGTGGCCTGATCCTGACTGGACATCTGTTTAGATACTGAATTGTTTTAATATCTGACCTCCTTGTTTACATGGTATCTTATGACATATTATTATGTATAAATTGTTATTTTCATATTATTTTAATTGTATTATTTTAACTGTTGTACACCGCACTGAGCCCATTTGGGGAGGGTGGTATATAAATCTAATAAAACAAACAAACCTGTATTGGTTTTTGATTAATATAATGCTGGCAAGTTTGCTCATAATTACTATGTTGCTGTAACACCTGGATTCCCTATGATCTATGATGGCATTCTGCTTTCCATAACACTATCACATGAAGTTAATCTTTCAGCTAAAATCTTCAAGACAATGCAAACTAATCCAAAATGTATGTAGTGTCAGCCAAATTTGCGTCAGCCAAATATAACTGTAAAACTCTTGAAATGATGTTTTTCATTTCCATTTGCAGCTTTTACTAACAAATATTTAGAGACCCACAGTGTAAGTCCACTGACCTCTATGGACTTAAGAGGGTATTGTAGGATTGCACTGCTCACCAACGAGGTGAAGGGCTAGATCAAAAAATGAGGTTTGTTGTAACTACTTTTTGCCACTCAATGGGAACTCAAAATAAGACTGAGGGAAAAAAGAGAAAATTCAAAACTAGAGCCCATCTCATATGCAACAGGCAAAACCTTGATGAGAGGGAAAGTGGAATGACAGTAAAATATTTCTAAATATGGAGGAGTGCACATAGACAGGGATGTTGTGTTAGGGAAGTAGATTGTTCCCTGTCTTCGTAACAAGTGTTGTCTTCTTTTAATGGGACTAATGTTATTATGGCTTTAATTTGAATGAAAGGATTTCCAGGGCCAAACTGTTCTTGAAATTAGACTTCTAATTGGAACACAAGATGCGTAATTTGGCCTTAAGAAGCAGCCAGGGGGAAGGGGGAGCATCATATAGACTGGTGCTGCAGTGCTTCGGAACTGAAATTAAGTCTAAGCATGTGTAAATGGAATGAATGCAAATTCTTCAGTTGTTTATCTACACCTCCATTTTTCTCTCCTCTCTTTGTTATCTCCCTTGCATTAAATTTTAAACTGTAAACTTCTCGAATCAAATCAGAGACTTTGTTTTTTTGCTTCTGTAAAGCACACTTGATGGCACTAAACAACTAGTCACAACTGTCCTACCTATGCAATATCCTCAACTGAAGCCCCTCCCTTTAGGCTTTTAGCCCTGATAGGCAAAAAGACAGGTACCTGCATTTTCAGTTGAGAAAATAAGAGAATAATAGTAACCTCCCCTTCCCTAGCACTTCACCATCCACATGGCACTCCCCTAGTAGCAGATTTTTTGGGCCAAAATACATACCTGGAGTTCTATTTACAAGACTCCATCATTTATTTATTTATTGGGGGGGGTATTCTGCCCTCCCCAAACGGGCTCAGGGTGGATCACAACAAATCAGGTCAAAGACTCATTACAATAAAGTCATATTAAAATCATAAAAACAATAAACAATAAAATTGGTAGCAGCAATATAAATCTGTTGGGGCCACAAGGTGGAATCAGGTGGGCCCTTTCAGCAAGTTGGAGACTAAAGCATCACATGTAATTTGGCCTTGAATGAGGGAAAATACAGCCCTATAATGATGATATAGTGGGGGGGGGGGGGGGGAGATAACGATAGCAACAGTGCCATTGATTTCTCATTGTCTGACTTACCTCTCCTCCATTAACATACTCCATTACAAAACACAAACGGTCCTTGGTCTGGAAGGGATATTTCAAAGACTAAACAAAAAAAAAAAACAAGAACTACAGTTATGGTATAATAAATTCTTCACTGATGAGAGCACCAAAATTCATATGTGTGCATTTAATTCATAAAGGTATATAAAAGTAGTCTTATCATGCCGAAGTAAAGTAAAGTATGTTCAGTTCCAAAGAAAATCATTGAATCAGTATGCAAATCAACATGGCATTTTAGCATGTGCATAGTATGTAAGTGAGCCCTGACCGGGATGGTCCAGGCTAGCCCTATCTTGTCACATCTCAGAAGCTAAGCAGGTTTGGCCTTGGTTAGTACTTGGATGGGAGACCAACAAGGAATTCCGGGGTCTCTGTGCAGAGGAAGGCACTGGAAAACCACCTGACTCTGTCAGTTTCTTGCCTGGAAAACCCTGCAGAGTTGCCATAAGTCAGCTGTGCCTTGACAGCACTTTACATATACACAGTATGCAAGTTATACTGAATTTCCAAAATGTGGTGATAGTGACAATCACATGTGAAAATTGGCAGTCTTGGAGAAATTGTCTAAATGTCTGAAAGTTAATGCTGACAATCATATAAATGTGATTGTTATCACTCACTGCTGCATGTCCAAAATGCAATACATAGCTATTTTCAGCCATTTACAGAATTAATTTTAAGTGTTCACAAGCGAGTGTCTATATTCTTTGATTTTTGGACTTTCAATAATATACATAATGTTTCAGAATAATGGCTTTGATTCATGGAGCATGATATTCTTGTCTCTCCTTTTTTTTTTTTTTTTTTTTTGCTGTAGCCCAAAATGCTGTTCTAGGAGCCAAAGAGTCAACATGGTTTTAAAATCAATCACAAACTACCTTCTGATATGGAGTAAAATAAGAACTGAGTCAGGAACAAAATGATGAATTATACCAATGACAGTTTTAAAGATAAAAGGTAGTGTACTTATGGAGAAAAAAATGTCTAAGAACTCAGTTTACCTAATCTTTAACAAGTTTTATAAAACTGACCCAAAAAAGTATTACTGGTAAATTCTAATTTATGTTCCACAATGTAATCTGTGGTTACTTGCATCTGGTGCACTACTGAAATCTCATAACAAAGAGCAATGACCAAAACATGTCAAGAATGAGAGGGCCATTACAGTTTCTACCTCCTCCTTAAATAAACCTGTCACATTTTATGAAGTTGATAAGAGCTGATGTCCTCCATCTGTTTAGTCCAACACCATCATGTGAACATTAACACTGGTAATTGGCAAGCCTTCAGAACATAGCTTCTGATGCAAATATCTCAGGACCAAAAATGCCCTGGATTCTGGCAAGGGTTGAGTCTACCACAGAAAATGACAAATGATGCTCCAGATCGCTTTTGGGGGTATATTTACAAAAGAGTGCAACAATGTATATATTCTGTTTAAGAGGTTAGAATGGTTAGAATATCGGCTGGCATGGAATAGAGCATATCAATCAATGTATCTAATTCTCAGTGTGACCAAATTTGTGGATACTTAAATCTGGAGATTGGAGACATGAACTGACAAGACAGTTCTTTCTACAAGCCTGATAAAAGCTCAAAATTTGCAGGAAAACCAGGAACCTTAAAAAAAAAAACTGCAAGTTATCCCACATAAACACAAACAACAGAAGCAGCACCTATAGCTTTAAGAAACAAATTTCCTTTATTGCTGATGCTAAGCAAATACAAATACCTTGGTTTCTACAGGTAAGAGGCAGAGGGTGGGATCAGGGCCCTTTCCAGAGCTGTTTGAAGCCAGGCTCACCTGCAACCACTGGACAACTTGCTACCATGCAACTTGCATGACTAACCCAGGACTGCTATTGTTCAACAGCAGCAGCCCCCCCCCCTCTTATGTAGTGGTTAGAGTTTCATACTACAATCTGAGAGACCAAAGTTCAGATCACCATTCTGTTTTGAAAGACTGCTGGGTGACCTTTGGCCAGTTACCCATTCTCAGCCTATGCTACCTCACAGGGTTGCTGTGAATAAAATGGAGGAGAGGAGAATGATGTAATCTGCTTTCAGTCCCCATTATGGAGAACAGCAGGGTATAAATGAAGTAAATAAATAATAAATATAGCTGAAGACTGGGGACAAAAAATGTGAAAGAGGAAATAGTGTGGCAGGGGAAAATAAGATGGCCGCTGCAAGTCCTTGTAGGTCCCCCACTTGTTCTCATCTATTATATAAAGAACATATATAGAATGTACAGTCTCTATCTTTTAGGCAGATGAAGGACTGGTAATACATTAGAAGGGATACCATTCTTAGCAGATATATTTTCCATTTTTACAAATATTAGAAGTGAAATACAATCAAGATAATTCATACTATAGTATTCTCCATTACTATGAATGGACGTGAAAGTTGGAAAGGAAGAAAACGGATTCTTTTGGAATGTGGTGTTGGAGGAGAAGTTTACAGATCAGCCATAATCCTTCTACCTAAAAGATAGTTTGCCTGCACAGAGGGAGAGTATTACGAATACCGTGGATCACAACAAAAAAAACAATTAAGTGAGTTCTTGATCAAATTAAGCCTGAACTCTCCCAGGAAGCTAAAATGACCAAACTGATGCTATTGTACTTTGGCCACATTATAAGGCAGGATTCACTGAAAAAGACAGTAATGCTAGAAAAAGCTGAAGGTAGCAGCAATGTTCCCTCTAATGTTTTTCCCTACCAAGTGGACAGTTCACATCCTGAGCAGAGTATAACTGCTATAATCTTAAAATGGGCACTGGGCAGTGCAAGACTGCGGGGCTCCAGATTGCTGCTGAGTGGGGCTTCCTGTGTTAATGAGTGGTCGCTCATATGCACAGCTTAGAGGGAACACTAGGCAGCAAGACCATGAGATGGATTGAGTCAATAAAGAAAGTCACGCCCTGATCTGGATAGCCTAGGCAAGTCTGTTCTCATCAGATCTCAGGAGCTAAACAGGGTCAACTCTGGCAAATACTTGGATGGGAGACCTCCTTGAAACACTAGAGGCGGGAGGCAGGGGCAGGCTTTATTCACCCACCTCTCTGAATATACTCCAGACCCCCAGTAGGGGTCATTCACCAGAGGTCACCATGACTTCCAGGTGCACACACACGCACATATAAAATTATTTTTAAAAAATAAAGTCATGGCTTCCATGACCTAAACAAAGGTTTCAATAGGACATTTTGGATGTTATTAACTCATAGGGTCACCATAAGTTGGAAATGACTTGATAGCACATAACACACTAATTGGGAAGGCATTTATTTAAGCCCCAAACTCATCAGCATAGCTCCTGAGACAGCTTCCAATCAATAAAACAATGACAAATCACATAAAATCAATAAAGGGGATCAGAGACTAGTAATCAAATAACAGATTAGAGCAAAACCCTGTAGATGGAAAATTTAAAAACAGCATCATACAACAAACAATAACCAAATAAGAATGGCGCCAGACAAATTTATGTGGGGAGGGATTTCCTTGATAGAAAATATAGAAGGCTCAGTTTTGGTGCTCACCTCCAAAGAGGAGGGCAAAGAGAGCAGGGCTGCTTTGCTGAAGCAAATCTTAATTGATGAGAAGGTTCACATCTATAATCTGTCCTGAATCTCAACAAAAAAGGCAGACTATAAATGAAGTAAATAAATAGTTGTTATCTAAGTTTCTGTCAAACATCAACTGCTTCTTCTATGGGGCCAGGTTGCTGAACCTCCATTCTTGCACTTACAGTTGTTCAGCCAGAAACTGCTTGCCACGGTTGTTCTTTTGTAAAACTTTTTAAATTGTGACGATTACACCATTACACTATATACCATGGCACCAGCAATATTGCCCAATGAAATCGCACTAATATGCTCAAACTGAAAAAAATTATGGAGGTATATTTCCACGGACAACAGTAAACAGAAAAGAAGCAGATTAATGATTATCAAGAGCAGACACTGAAAGCACATGGGCAGCCCAGTCCTGACGGCTACTGCAGCAGTTGTGGCCAGCTGCCAGCATAATAGCAGCAGCAGCACTGCCCATATCCTTATGGACATTCCAAGGGGAGGGGGGGAGACACGTGTACTCCTCCACAAGATACACACTGCATGACAAGTACCCTGGAGTCTATAATAACCCCAGCAAGGCCCACCACCTGGGCATCAGTGCCCAATGACATTTCTCTGAGCGGCACACACATGCATAGCCAATTGCCACCCACTGATGCAGCCACTACCTCAGTGCTATTCCTCCCCTCCTGGAGCACAAGAGGACAGATGAAAGACTCAGCAACCAAGTAACACTCCACTGGAACCCTGACATCACTACCAGCTATAAGGGGCAGACATGGGCTCAGTGGAAAAATACTTTAATAGCACAGGCAGAGGCTCCTGCTCCTGGTTCAATCCCCAAATGAGAGGACGGAGCCAGGCAAAAGTTTTGGAACTGACATTTCGCCCTTGCAAAGAGCCCAGCCTAAGCTCTCCACCACATGCCCATACTACCAGCCTTATATCCCACCCTCCCCGCAAGCAGGCTCAGGACAGGTTTCAACAATATAAATATAATATGTAATACGTTAAAGCCACTTAAAAACAAGAGTATAAAATAACACTTGTTATCTTAGCAATTAGGATGGAATTAAGAATCCAGGCCACTGACTGGGGGCCAGCCAGAGGGAGGGGACGTCCGCCACCTCAACCAAAAGCTCAGTGGAAGAGCTCCATCTTACAGGCCCTGTGAAATTGTAGTAAGTTCTGCAGGGCCCTGACCTCATACGGGAGCTCATTCCACCAGGTAGGGTCCAGGGCTGAAAAGGCCCTGGCTCTAGTAGAGGCAAGATGGATGTCCCTGAGGCCAGGGACTACCATAATATGTTGATTAGTAGACCTTAGTGCTTTATGGGGCTCATACGGGGAAGCCAGCTGTTTTGAGGGGGACTGTCAGACCTAAAGATCTGCCCTTCTTGCTACAGCAAGCACATGTCCCCTTGGACTACCCCCACCCGGCCCTCCATGTGAACTGCAC